GCAAAATGTCTACCCTACACACTTCAACATTCCTTTCAGATCGTGTTTCACAAAAAATAATCAAAGCAAGAAATTTGTCACCAAGAGGTTCGGCTTATGGTAAATCTGATTACAGGAATGCATAGAGCTCATCGAGTTCTAGTTGGAATAAGAAGAGGACATTTGAAACAAGTTCCTCAGGGAATCCGAGTAGGAAATACTTTCCAGGTTGCTTGGAGTTCATGGGACAAAAAATGAAAAAATCGATTTTCTAACCAACAGATTTGAGTGATGCAAAATGTGATTACAGAAATCGATAGAGCTCGTCAAGTTCTATTTGGAAGTAGAATAGAAGATTTGAAATAACTTCCTGAGCGAATTGGGCCTGAAAAAACTCGAATATGGTGAGAAGGTCACGTATTTATTAAAAATGTCAAAGTCGCAATTTGGAAAAACCGAACACAGATTTGTGTTTGCCCACGCTGATTAATTCGGGTCGGAATTTATAGATGATGTCCATCTTCTCAATACCTGTATTCATGACTCAACACGTGCCTGCAAACATAGATCAACTGTCACTTACTCTGTTTATTTGATGTGACGCTCAGTTTAGTCAGGGGAATAAGCGAAAAAAAATATCATTCGTCGGTTTTTTTTTCTCATTTTGTCTTCGTCACAGGCTAATAGAGCGTGGCGAAGGCAGATAAGAACGAGAAGATGTATATATATAACTGTCGATCAGCCACGATATTGTCAGAAGCAACTTAATACAACGAGTAGTAGGAACGAAATACTTTGGTATTGGTAAGCTTATTTTATATAGATTAGCTAGGATTGCTTAACTATTATTTACATTTAGCATACTATAATCAAGAGCATCAATAAAGGAAGGATGAATCTTATACAGTTGACATTGGTCTTTTCTGAATTTATTTCAATAGTGGTCTGTTCAGGATCATACTCTGGTGATAAATTAGCCAGTCTATTGGCAGATCTTGTGGCGGAATCACGCGCAGCAATACAACAAAGGTACGTGTCATGGGTTTTACAGTGCAAATGATTTTATTCATTTAGTGATATTAAGTCTTCTCTCTATTTCATTACTTTAGTTCTGGATGTAATTGGTTTACATATAATTTAGATCTAATGCAAATGACGTATCAAACCCCTATCTATACCTGTGCAACAAAAACATTCGCCTATGGTTATTGTATTCTTGGATGGTCGGATGCAGTTGCTCTATGTAATAGTGATCCAAATTGCGGTGGTTTCTCATTAACAACAAATCGAAATTGGCATAATGCCTTTGATACAGCTAGTCAAGCTGCTGTATCGCTGTTCAGTGCTCCAACAGGAGCACCTACTCCTACTCCTGGTGAATGGTACCCATTCTTCAAAAAATGTTGGCAATTCAATACACAGAAATACGAGACTGTGTGACGATCATTTTTGTGATGGTGGAGCATTTCACGAAGACATTTGAAAAGCATTTGCATCGTAGATCTTTGTTCTCATTCGTTTTTATTATATAATCTAGTGAGTTGACGTAAAAGTGAGAAAATTTATTTTATTTTATTTTATTTTAAATAGTGCATCACACTTTAGAGTTTTTTTTAAGTATTTCTCTTCTTTTTTGTATTTCTTTAATTTAATTTAATTTAATATTAGAAATAGAGTTCAATGGGATGTCTATTTGCTTAACTCTAGACTGAAGGAATGTAAAATATCATAGAATTAGAACTGAACAATGGATAATTGTGTTAAGGAAATATTCTTCCTTATGAATTATATGTATCTCTTCCTTAATTCTTGCTCACTTGTTATTGTTCGCTCATATCTATTTTTTCTCATGGTCAATAAACATTGAGATTGACCTTGTTCTTTTTTTATTCTTTCGCTCATTAATCTTTCTATCTCATAGTTTATAATACGTGATAGCGTTATCATCATATATATACGCATGTATCTCTTCTATTCATATTCAGAATGGTTAGTGCTGGCATTCTCTTCTTTCCAATTCTTTCACACTTTCATTCTCTTGTTGATTCTTCTTCTTGTGTGCTTTTCTCTTCTTCATTGAAATAAAATTGAACTCACGTTCTAGAAAACATAAAACTTACAAATTGAACAAATTGTTTTTTGCTGTTTTTATGTTATTGCACAAATATGTATTGTATTGTATTGCAAAGACCCTTACCTTTCGGTGTAGGGTTACTAAAAAACGGTACAACAAAATATCGCACAGAATCAGAGAATGTTCTTTCGATCATTTTCTTGCTCGATCTTCGATATGTTCGAGCAGTGCCGCTTTTGTTCGGATGCCACATTCGAGCCACGAGTAATTGGTTGCAGTGAAACTCATTATTGAGTGTGCGCTGTTCGAATCTCAGCTTCTTCAACGAGCAAAAGAGCTCTTGATAGTCGACGGATACGGTATGTCTTTTTTCTTGCACCACTACTTTGCATAGGATCTGTCGCGGTTGGTGATACTCGGAACCTTCAAGCTTTTCTTGTAGTTGGGACAGACGTATGTGGATGTCGCTTGTAGAGAATATCAGTAAAATATACTCTCATCGACTCCCGTCGCTGTTTAACTCTGGGATATTACCAACCGATAGAGCTTAAAATTCCACACTTATGAGATCCCACTCTCAGCTATTTTATCACAAAAAATCTTGGATGAAAAAAGCAAATACCTTGTCGACGAATCCAGTCTGACAGACTCTCAACAACTATGAGCCAAATTTTCACGAGAAAATGAACATTTCAGAATGAACAAACTCGCTAAAAGCACACTTCGTTATATCTGAATTTATCTGTCTTGGGATCACATGTATCATTCTTCGAGGTCAAAGCTCAAATCTTAAGAGAGGATCCGCCAAAACACTGCACCACTCCAACTCTTGAAAATTTTTAAATTCCAATTTCGCTTTGCGATTCGATAGAGCTACGTATGAAAAGTTGCTGCTAAAAAGATTAGACCTTTCGAGAAAGCTTGTGAGGAGCTATGAATGAAACACTAGTGCACTCTTAAAAAAATCGGTTTTCTACCAAACCTTAAAAGTTCCGCATTTCTGCACGGAACGATTTTAAGTTCCGTGGGGCGCAAATCGTTTCGTGGTTTCCTTCCAGAACTATTTTAAGTTCAGCAGATTTCATAGGGTTTCGGAATTCAGCTGCGGAACTCGTTGTAGGTTCCGTAAAGTTCTTTGTGGTTTCGTAGATCGTGTACCAATCCTCTGATAGTTTGGTAAAATGGCAGAAGGTTTCGTAATATGCCGACAGAACCGTTGATGGTTTCGCAAACTGTAGAAGGGTTTGGAATATTTTATACAAAACGATTGATGGCTTCGTAAAAGTTGGAAAAGTTTTGTATTATTTGTGCGAAACTTTTCGACACTTTCTAGTCGGCATCATAGTTTCGTATATTTTATATGAAACGACTGATGGATCCGTAAACTGTAGAAAGGTTTGGTATAAAATATACCAAACGACTGATGGTTTCGTAAACAGTAGAAAGGTTTGGAATATTTCATACGAAACGACTGAGGGCTTCGTAAACAATGAAAAGGTTTGGAATATTTTATACAGAACGGTTGATGGTTTCTTTAAAGATCCGATGGTTTTGTATTATTTGTGCGGAAGTTTTCGACACTTTCCAATCTGCTTTAAGGTTTGGTATAATTCATACCAAACCGTTGATGGTTTCATGAACTATAAAAAGGCTTGGAAAATTTCCTACGAAGCGAGGGATAGTTTCGCAGATTATCTGAAGGTTTTGCAGTTTTCTTGTAAAACTTTGCATGGTTCCATTAATAGTAATACGTTTTGTATACTAGGTACGAAAGTTAATGTGCTTCTGAGCATTATGGAGAGTTTTTTCTGCTTTCGCGTAATCCCCAAGACCTCAGTATTACCTTCGGCATGGTG